GATCCGCCCCTGTTTTCAGTGTTTACTAAACTTGATTTAAACAAGAAAATTGGTATCATTTTCACACAAATTTAATGTAACTGATTAATTTTTGCAGGTGTTTCATTAAAGCAAATGCAGTCTTTTGGATGTACACTTGCAAATCTGGTAATCGCCCAAAGAAAAATATAGAAAAATTGCATTAATCCGGTCAAAATATTGACTAACGATGCAAAAAACCCTAGACGACACCAAAGAAGCCCGGAATTAATTAGGGACTAATAACTGTAGACAGAAACTGCAACTAAATCGAGTAAAAAACTCTCAAAGAAAACCTTATTATAACATAAAATTGTTCAGCTGTATAAAGTTACTTAATTTCCGATATTATGGGATGTGGAAGCGATAACGTCAATTCCCAATGTTACTTGTTCGGTCGCAGCATGTTCTTGCTTGCACCAAGCAAGCGAATTAAATCGCCGATAAATAACGTTTGAATAATTCAAAAAACATGCCAGTTTTTATCGTGTTAAGAAACAATTACCTTGGGGTCGATGTTTCGGATATTCTTATTAATTTACAATGTTAATTTGAGACTATCTGAGTCGCTGATCGAGAGCACGTGCATTTCCGGGTAGGGGCCCACTAGTTTCCGGGTAAATTTGAAAACTACCTGATGTTCACAAACGGTCACAAAACTCGCCAGGTAAAGAGCATTCAAAGAGTTCCGTCTTTGGTGAATTTACCACCAAAACCTATTTAGATAAATTAGTTGTTATGGAGCTGGAAAGTAAAATTCCAGCCAATAATTCTAATGGAGTCATTCTTTGTCGATGGAATGAACCGAGCACATTTTCATTAAAAAAATGTTGGCCGATTACTTTGTTACGAAGTCAATGACTTGGCGTCTAATAGGAAAGAACAGCTTGGCTTAAGGCGTCAATTTTGAGAACAAAACGGTGGCTGCACACATTTTTGAAAATGCTGTCCAGCAAAGTGGACATATGGGACTAAAACGATTTTTAGGGCTGTCGTGTTGTCGTGCTAATTAATTTACAAGCACTCATCTCGGTAGAGATGAAACGCGTGAAAGTGCAAGTAGCCGCCGAAGAGCAGTGCGCGGTTCTGCAGGTGCTCAAGGGGGCCCACCTGCCCCAATACACAGGTGCCACCCTCATCGCGTCTTTAACCGCTCTAACGGCCATCCGAGCCCGCTTCTTTGCAGCTAAACGGACTTTTCTGTCAAAAGACGCGATTTCTTTGCTCGATGCCAACGAACTGCCACCAGACCCACTATCTTCCTATCTTCAATCGACCATTACTCACCATCTTCGATTATCAGGGTGTTGGCCAATAAGGTGGTTTGAGGCTTGAGGCGAGTTTTGCATTTGCTTTTCTTAAAACCAACTTGCCCACGGGTTTTCATGCGAAATAGCCAAGTGTTTTATTGGTTTTTGTAGCGTTGTAGCAAGTTTTTCAATCAATGTCCGGGAACTAAATTATCCAAAGTAACCAAGGGTTCAAACCAATAAAAGTATCGATTTGTAACCAGTCATCTAGAGCGTATATTACGGAGAAAAATCCATGTTATTGATCAAATTAAACCGAGATCTACAATATACTCACTTTTCAACGTTTCCCAACGTTTCGGGCAAAAGTACCATGCCAATTTTATCCCTAGCACGCGAAAGAGCTTGAGGAATTGTTCCCAATAATTCTCAAAACCGTGTTCAAAATCATCTGTTTCTTCCCAAAACTATTCATCGAATTCTTCACATAAAGATTCCTTTTACTGTTCCTTTCATCTC